ACAGTACAAAAAGAGCACACCGTAGACAACCAATATAAGATCAACACTTTGCTTACATGAAGGATTGTCCCAAGGGGTTCCAAAGAACAACACCCTTGTAATTTCCACTCTAGCATCAGGCTCTTAATTCTGCATTACCACATTTACTGTTGAGAGCTTGCTTGGACTGCAGAGTAACTGTTTGTTCCGTTAAAAAGTAGGGGCTAGTTGCATTAAAAATGGTCTGAGATAGACAAAAACACTGCTTTGATTTTTAGTGTTCAGTTAAATATTGCCTCTGTTCTAACTACATTTGTTTTTGCAAAATCTGCAAGCAATGTCATTACTAGAACTCCTTCATTAAAATAAAAACACTATCCTTGACTGCCAAGTAGCTACTTCTCATGCAACAGTGACCCCAGTTTGACAGAAGACCACAACACACACAGGTCAAACATGTAAGCAAAAGTTTGTTTTTCTTTTTTCTAAGCCAAATTTCACTGTTGTCTTAAAGGTAAAATTTAGTTTGTGATGCAACTAGCCGTCTGTATATTACACCTTCTCCATTTTGACTTTACTTAGATTTAATTTCTAAAGCATTATACATCCTTATAGGAGTCTATTTTCGTATGCGTTTGTCATGGGTTTCACATTTGGTGACTGGTTAGCAGTGTGCTGGCCATCTTTGGTTTGTAGAGGAAATCTTAACCATGAACAATCAAGGGGGCTTAAAAGAACTTTTTAAATGCTAGCTTTTTACTCAAACTTGTCTCTATACTACATCACGCCACGTTAAATAGAAGCACACATCACAAAATTGCACAGGGATTACAATATTACATCCAGTCTGCATAAAATTGAATTCCACTACTGACCAGGTCACAAAATGGCTGCACTTTCTAGTCTAAAACTAATTTGCATATTGTACACATGTAGGACATTTTTTTACTTCAGTCACAATAATGCATGCAAGTTTGTTTTTTGTAACAAATTTTGTAAATTTGCTCATGCTACCTAGTTTCAAGAGAGCCTTTTTGAACATTTGCAAAAACTCACCTCTTGTTAATTAATAGTTCTAGTGCATGCATATGGTGTATACAGGTAAGTAAACATGCAATTTTTTTTTTCACATTCTAAAACTATGGCAGTTTAGGCCATATTGTGCTGCCTGCATTTAATCTGTAATGCAGTGTGTCTTAAACGTTTCAATCCCGTATTAATAGGTGGCATTACACATAACACCTATATAGCAGCAAAGCTAATACAGCTTGTGATTAAAAATGTTTAAAAATAGCTAATAAATCAGATTATCTTGAGGTATTATTTCTTGCAAGTCAAAATGGAGAGCAAAAAATCAACCCTAATTTTTAGTTTATGTATACACTGAAAATAGCAACAACAATAAAAATAAGCTTTTTGTAGCAGACATATTCCATCTTCACTATTTTGCTACCTTTGGTAAATTACTGGGGCAGATCTTGAAGTTAAAAACCCATGTTTAGAAATAAGTGCACGCTTCACCCACTAAATATAGCAGCAGACTGTGCCCCTACGCAAAAACATTCTCTTATCTAGTTTTAACTTTACATATAAAAATAACTTGGAGAAAATACAAAAAAACATCTTATTTTAACATGAAAATATCACAAAAATTAGTAAGCCTGAGATGTAGGGTTTTGGTGAAAAACAAGAGGCTTGTAGTGTTTTGGCTGCTGATAAAGATGCATGTATTGATAGCTGGGGTGAAAAGCAGAAGAATGCACTTATTTCTTCTGCATGTCAGTATCTTCAAACACAGTAAGCCACATGCACCCTTCTCTCCTTATGCAGATGCTGGTTCACCATGTTTAATTCCAGCGGAAGTGGATCTGACGTGGGCGGTCAGCCCCCTCCTTTACCAATGGCTTATGGAATTCACGTCCTGCACGAGAGTGGATGTTTGCCCAGCAGAACTCACAGTAATACTGCAGGCAAGTGACATTGGCACAGAAGAAAGGAGCAAACTTCCCACCGCATCGTGCGCCCTGGCATTCGTCACACATCTGGTCATCCAACACGTATGGCTTTACCTCCACCTGTTGGAGTAAGCCAGAAACAAAAGTCTAGTTAACAACTTCTTCTGCTTAAAGTGATATCAGGGCATTCAGTTTTCATCTCATTAAACACCAACCCAACCCACAGAAGTCTGAAATCAGACATATTAGTACCTTTAACTGATCACTCGTTACTCTATCACTTGTCAGCTACAGATTTATCCACACAGTGAGCAGAAGAATTCTTGGCAGACCTTTAGAGGTACACTACAGATGTATTAAAGAGCTACAGCAGAACCTCCCGCTAATTTATTCTGGATGGATGTTCTGGGCAAATGATAATATGGAAGCATTTGTAGAAAACATGAAGAAGCACAGAAGTCTCCCAACTACTGTCATCAGCTCCCAAATGTACCCCAACATGACATCCAATTCTATACTGTTTAGGAGAAAATAATTTAACATACAAGAATATAACCACTTATAAATTAACCCTTTTAAAAAAAGTAAGCATCTTCATGTGCTACTTCTGTGTGCAAACTAAAAATACTTTCTGCAGGCTGGAATATAGGCCTTTTAGCACTCCTCTTCCCTGTAAATCCACTCTCTATTTCTAAAACATGGTTGAATTTACAGCTACAGATTTCAGCAATCTATTATTTTCCTTTTTTTTGTGGCTTTGGACTGTACAGGCATTTGTATTAAACATATTTCTGAAAATATTTCTCAAGGCTACAGCCTGCTAGAAACACCTGTCTAACACAGCCTCTCTCTGCCAAGCACATCTGACTGCCAGAGTGGAAAAGGGGCAGGGGTCCAGTGGGGAGCCTGGGCTGGGGCTCTGCGTGACTGCGCTGGTACAGACGGCCACCAGACAGGAAGGACAGCTTCGGAGTGAATTAAGAGGATATCTGAGTCAAAAGGAGTCGGCTCCATCATTAAGGAATGTATTGTTGTCTTCCATGTTTTCCTCACTTTTGAATATGTGGCAAGAAGAGTTATTCCAGTTAATACTAAACCTCTCTGCTGTAAGAGATTCTTTTTCTGAGATACTATTACCTGAGATGAATGCTACACAGACATTGACTTTTTGTACTATATTCACACAGAATGTTTGAAACAGTAAAGAACTTTAAAACGCTGTTTTTTTCCATTCTGTTTCCAGACAAAAAAAAAATTTACACATACAACTACACATTCCAAGTTTTACAGCAGAATAGTTTTCACGTTCTTAGCTTCAGAAGTAGAGGTCATACTTGACATATTAAACACACCTATGTCTGAAATAGAGTATGCTTCTTCCAGTAATCTGTATTCAGTACAAGTCTACTACTTACTTCACTACAACCACCTGCCTTATCACAAATTACACTCAAACTTTACAATAAACAGGTACCTTCTTCGTTCAGCGTTACTGAAAGTCTGAAGCAGCATATATTTCAAGCTTCAGTGCATTAATGTACAAAGATTGGTACAAAGATGATTTCTAATATATCAGAAAAACACTCTGGGGAATGAAGGACCACATGAAGTGAAGGCAGACTGCAGGCATACGAAAGTTAACAACATTTGAAGGAATTGTTTGGAGCTGAAACTCCAAACAAGTTTCAAGGAAATGTTTGGAGCCGAGCTTTCATATATGATAAAACACGAGCACTTTACTGGAGAAAAACATCTGCTGGAGAAACTAAACGTATCTACACATCAAAAGAACTGGAGAGAAGCAGCAGAGTACCTAGGTAAGGAAGAAGTTAAGATCACAGACAGCGTTTGTTAAGTAACCGTGACACTAAGATTTCCAATTACAGCAGGAAAAGGTATGTGCAAAAAAAAAAAGCAGCTATTAATATTTTGAGTTCAGAAGGATAAACAGGTGACCTGCAAAATTTAGCAGTGACAAAAAGAGACTTTTATACAGACAAAACTGGTTGTGAAAAGAACGTGAAAGGACAGCAGACCTACAAAAACTGGGTTTAACTGGTGTATGAAGGCTATGCTAACGAAAAGGGTAGGAGAACAGCCTGCTTTTAAGATTTCAGTGAAATATGCAATATATTGCTTTTTTAGCCAGCATACATGCACATCTCAGAGGAAGGCAATACCTGAAGCAGGACTATCTTCCTCACGTACAGGAACAGTGGCTTACAGATATATACCAATTGCTTGCTTCTCTCTACATCATCAGTAATACTAATTTCAGAATTACAGTGTTCCTTGGAAAGAGGCTCTCCTCCTATCACTCCTCAGTAATGAAAATAACTGAGTTGTATAAATATATATAATTACATAAATAACATTGACTGGCCATATGATTTAATTAGTGAAAATTATTTCAAAAATAAGGATTAAAACCCCCTGAAATAAAGAAGTTCATAAATTCTTCCCATCATAAGATTTACAGACAAATTTATTAAAATACCTAGATTTGTCAGTGCTGTATTTTGCAAGTGAAACACCTCTGGAGTAGCACATTTTTAAAAATAAGGAAAAAAAAAAAAGGATGCTAATAAAAATGTGAAGATTCCAGACTTAAGAGGATATCTGAGTCAAAGAACTAATTCAAGAATAAGAAAAGCAATACTACACAAAGAACACATAACAATCAAAAAAGAAACTGAGGTATTTAATGAAAAAAAACTTAGATATTCCTTCCCTCTTCCCCTTAACCTGTCAAACCCATGAACAACACTATAGATACTAATTATACTTGTTTCTTTCCTTTTTTTTAAGGAGTGATTGAAGAAATAATTTATCTACTGTTTTTATCAATTAAGTCTTGTGGATATTACTTACCTGTTGTCCTCCTGAAATCTAGTATTTGGGGTAGATTTTCAGATTTTTTTTGTTCCCTGTCCAAGCAGCCTGCAGCACATGTCCACTGTTTTACTGGAGATTTCCTGCCCACTAAGTTTTTCAGTGTTCTATTACACATTAACAAGTTAAATCCCTCTCTCTGTAGACAGTAAGTGCTGCCATTTTAGATGCCTGCTCAGCATCCAAAGAGCACTTAAAATCTCTGGTGACCTATCATAAAAAACAAAACAACAAAACTAGAGGTGGACCCAACTGTCCACCTCTAAATTTACAGTCAGGTCAGTTCATAGCCAAATGCACAATAGATGGTTCCTCAAACACACTAAGCTGAGCTGGATTCTGAAGCTAAGTGACTCATTTAGCATTTTTTTTTTTTTAATACAGAGTTATGGATTCTGGTCCTTATTCCTATTTTATCCAAATAATCAAATGCAAGATGATTAACAGTTTTATTTCCTCTCATACAGTCAAAGTGTCAAGGCCACTTTTCCTGTTACATAATTAGCCAAAAGTTAGAGCTGTTAATCAAAGTCAGATGCAAGTCATAAGGCCAGCAACCCCACCAGTGATACTTAACTGTCGAATCTTAATGTGAAGCCTACTTCACTACCCACTTTCAGACCCACTCATCCTCTGGACAGGACCACATTTGGGGATTTCAGCCCATGAGGCAACTGGTATCTGACAGTCATATGTAAAGCTGTATTATTCTGTCTGTTTGAAAGGAGAGAAGCACACACTACCTCCCTACAGCAGACTTTTGTTAACTGTACTACTTTCTTTTTCCCATGTCTTTGATCTGTAGAGGAGACTGGACCTTGATCTACTTTACTTACTCAACCCTTCTTCCTCTAAGACCTTATTTTATATATAAAAAAAAAAATCTATTAATACCACTGATACTGACTACCTCTGCAGCTCTTGACATTAAAATTAGTAACACTTAAAACTGACAGTTTAGATGCCAGTTTTATTTGCTACTATTATACTTCTAATCATGACTATTAAAGTTGACTAGTCTTCTTAATAAACGTTTTGTTTATCTAGCAATAACCATCAGTAGCAGCTAGAAATGTATACTGGCAAATACTATGAAGACTCAGTCAGAAAAGATAAAGACATTTTGTATTTTAGGTGCTGAGTTTGAAGTGCTGAGCACTAACAATTACCGCTGAAATTAAAGGGCAGCTGCAAATATGAAGCTAATCTGAAACCAATGAACCATTTTGCAATGAATGACAGAGGAATTATCACGGTATTTGGTTTCATTAGAACAAGTGAGAGACAGAAATTTTTAAGCCCTTTGCCCATGCACAACAAAAGCAGGAACTGCAGAATGGAAAGAACATACGGCTTAACGTATGCTCAAGGAACACACTGCTGCTCTGTGGAATGCATCTTGTTTGCCTGGGGGCATTCACAGTTTAACTCCTGGAACTCATGGAGTTATAGGAATACTGAAAGAAATGTGGAAACTGGCATGTCGGTCAACTGCAATATTACCATACCCTGAAAAGATCCTTTCCAGATCCGTCACTCTCGCCTTTATTTGAATTTCTGTGTAACTTACTCGTTTATCGATATCGCCGTGCTGGAGTTGAACAAACCGAGCACTGATGGCAGCAATGTAACTCTGCTGATTGGAAAAAGCAACACGCCCAGCACCTTTTGGGTATTTCAGCTCAGGGTCAGTATCGATTCCTGCGTAACAAACTCCACCATAAAGACGGTCCATGATCATGGCCAATTCCACTATTAAGAAACAAAATAATGTTAAACTGTTCTTACAGTACATATTTCATATAATATGCTTATATTTAGAATTACTAGAGAAGTTAGTTTTAATTGATTTTGCAACAGTCAATGTAGCAGCAAAAAAAAAAAAAAAGTAAAAACATATTAAATAAGCTCTGAAATACTCAGCAGATGGATCTCTCACAACGAGGGAGCATACATCCAAGGAACAATGGAACTGCAAGTCCTTGAAGCCCTTGATAACCTGGAAACTGAAATGCCAGAGCAGTTTTCTTCAGGGATTACAGCAAAGGGCTTTTTGGGCAGACATGGAACGTAAGCTGTATAAAATAGATCCACATGCCACAAGTTCCTTGGTGCATGTTCTCTGGCTACCCTGATGCTCTATGTGCTACTTCAATTTAAAGATGCAGTTGGTATCTTTCTACCAGCCATACAGAGCTTGATTATCTCTACAGCACTACACTTACCCATAGATACTAAACTTCACTGAAATAAGTCTCTCAGATTTTTCTGATCAAGTATTTTAGAAATCCTCTAGTAATATTTTATACTGAATTTAGTTTTTTTTTAATTGGGCAGAAAACACTGGGTTTTTTTTCCTAGAATTAGTATCCTCTGTATTAGGGTATAAGTGTCACATCGTTTTTCAATTGTTGTTTGAAAAGTCTCCTAAAATTTTACTGCTTTTGTGAATTCATGATTTCAGAATGCCAAAGAAGTTTCATTTTCACATATACAGGGCAACCATTAAATTTATCACAGGCATTCAGCACAGTGGTCTGCAGTATTTGGACTGAATTTAAAGAAAAATTAATTTGCAGTTGGAACACGCTGTGTTTATATTCATTTACAGAGCTCGTTCCAGTAGAAAGTACAACCTTACAGGTAAAGTAACAGAAAACCTTGAGCATTGCAGGCCCAGGATAGAAAAATTTAAGATTCTTTATACACCAGATTTGGACTGTCACTTCTTGGTTCTCCTACATCTTCCATCTGACAGCTCATGTTTCTGTAAGAGTAAAATTTATTACAAACTATGGAAGACCAATGAAGTCCAGGAATCATTGTAATGGAAAATGGAATTTGAACCACTGCATGTTATGCTTCTACTTCCAACATTCACTTCAACCTACTTACTAGAAAGAAGGCCACCATAAAATATTGTAAGAGGCTACTGCTACCAATCTGACAAAGCAGACCTGTCCAGGTTGCACAGCAACCACTCCTCAGCTACAGAAACATTTAACTTTTCCTTCATGCACACTGACAAGAGTCCTGCACAATTAAAAAAAAAAAAACAAACCCAAAAAAAACCCCAAAACCCCCACAAAACTCTTTCCTGACATAGTTTATACTACAATTCTGCTAATATGATTAAAATCTTTTCTAGAACATTTGCCACGTAAGCTTCCAGCCAATCACAATGATGAACGGCAATTTATGGCCAAAGCCATATGAAAACAGTTACCAGAGAAATATAACAATACACCAACGTTGTACCGCGGTTATAACTATTGTGACAGTCTTCTGGGTTTTTTTATCTATCTATCTATCTATCTATCTATCTATCTATCTCCACACAACTATACAACAGTACGTATGGTTCATATTATTTCCAATAATCTCCCACTTTTATAAACAGCCACAGGTTATACTCACCAGCTCTTAATGGTCTAGGGACTCCTCCAACAAAAATAGTTTTTCGAGGATCAAGGGGCTGGGAACCATCCATCACAAAGTCACTATCACTTAGATTCCAGGGACGGATCTGAACCTGTTACATTGGGAAAGGAAAGGGTATGCTACTCTCAGTTTTGCTACATTGTGGGTATATGCTCAACAGCCTATATAAACAGTCATAACCCCATTAGCATAGCACGTCTAGGTGCTCTGTTTTAATCCTATTAATTCAGAACATTACAACTTTAAAATCATCCAACTGTTCCAGATGTTGAGCTCTGCCAACAGTAGTTTGCTTTTGATTATTTTCATCGTCATCACTTCAAATGCAGCTTTAGACAGATGGCAGCTAGAGCCTGCGGGCCATCTACTGTTTACTTACTGGCTTGTCCTTGATAGTAGGACTGGAAACACACAGATAGAGCTTTCCATCTTCTTCAATGCAGGCATCAATCAGGGCCTGAACTGAACTCTCTTCTTGGAACAGGAGGAATGCATAACCTGGAAGAAAAGCCAAACCAACTGAGACTTTATCTTATTTTTATTTTTCTTAATCATCTTCACCAGCAACTTTTCCATACAAATGTGTGTAATTCAAAAGAAAGTCAACCCAAATCTTTGTTATTAGTCATCTTCTTTAAATATGTACTGCCTTATGATCAACAGAATTTCTATCCTTAAAATAATGGTCAAAAGAGACTAATAACTAAATAAAAGCAAAGATGTGTGCTCTATCATGTACTGGAACTCTAGGCTGTGCATAATTCATTGGCAGCAATGGATATTATACAATGAAAATCCGACTTGGCACAAAGGACTAATCTCTATTCTAGAGATTAGATGGAAGTACTTTGTTACATAAGTGACCCAGCAAACATCCCAAACACTACAAAAATAGGAATTAAAATGCTTCTTTAATGCTACAGTAAAAACAGTTATACAAGCAAAGAACCTCACAAGTTAAAATATTTTAACAGTTACAGTATAATGATACATACAAAATCTGTTGCTTGACAGGTGCTTGATAGCGCAATTAGGGTTGTAGTCTAAAATTTACTTCAAAAGGACCATAAATCCACATTTCTTTCTGACAGTACTACCAAGTGTGGAATTTTCACAGAAAGTTATGTTTGAATGGAAAAATAAATTCTGAAGCAGCTGCTCTAGAGAGGGTTTGGCAAAAGGGATCATGTCTGCTTCACCAAGCCTCTTGGAAATCACACTATTTCTGAGAGAAGCTAGTTAACCACTGGCAATTTCTTATTGCAGACAGTGTAAGTCTTCAAGGCAAGGATGGTAGGGTGCATCTTGAAAAGCATTACAGATTGATTCTGTAATCAAGGCGTTAAGAACATCATAAGATTAGAGAAACAAATGCACAGCTGATTTTAGATATGTGGGAACAAAAGTAGAGTTTAAAGAAAAAGCTCTAAGGCTTATACCAGTCTAATAGCTTTATTTCTTATAACTTAATTTCTTACCCCTCATACCATGGTGATATCATAGCTACCTATAATGGACATGTGACAAAGTTTTTCATATTCTATATTTTCATGTAAATCAATCTTAGTTTCTTAGCAAATATGCTGCACAGAATCTTTGAGCTCAGGCTAGGGCATTTCCTCGAAGTCCATTGTTCATTGCCGAACAATATTTTTTTGTGATAACCTAACTTAAGCTTAATTAGTAATTATTCATATTCAAAAATCTGTTTTGATGGGATATCTTTCAGTATTTATCTCGGAAGGTAAAATCCACGTTACCCATGCAAAGCTCACTCCCTGAACAAGGGCACGTGCACACTGGTGTGGGTGAGACCAGACTTGTGCAACTGTCCTTACTTGTGCGGACACCAGACACACATTCCTGTTTGAATGGAGAGCTCCGTACAAGAACGATGGGAGTGGAAAAACTTGTTTAATCAGAGAGAGGGCTGAATGCACATATCAACTAAAGGGATCAGATATACAAAGTAGGACTCACAGCCAGAAGTAAAACATTTTGCCAGATGCCTATTTTCCATCGGCTCATACCCTAAAGCACACCAAGGACACTGCCACATAGCCCCTGATACATAAAGATGGTCTGTGCCTACCACCTGTATGCCTGCAGCTACTAATATACTTCACTGTGGCAGCTTGTAAAGAGATAGAAAATTTAAATACAAGAACTTGAGGGAACATTAGGATTACTATATCGTACCAGGTCCGAAATACAAGGAAAGCAATACCAAAACTATACATTAATACTGCTTTCTCAACATTAGCTGCAGAAGACGCACTCGTGTCTGGGTTCATCCCACTGTCAGCAGACAGGCTTGTGCCATGAGCTTAGCTGCACTACTTCCTCTCTGAAGACACCAAGATTGTTAGGGTATAGTCTGTACTACCAAATTGGTGTGGTTGTAGTTCTGATCTATAGCTCTAGTCCTTCAACAACTTACAATGCATTTTAGTTTGTGTCCCAAATCTACCCTGGAGGAAAATAACCAGTTCTCTTGATGAAGAAAACTAGCTAGAGAAGATAATTTTCTCAGATGTTGCATTTTGTAGCCGTATACAGAAACAGCAGCCCCTTCCAAAGAAGGCCAGACTGTACAGTCTGCATACAAACCACTCTCCATCACCTGCCCTGGACCAGGGTGCATTTCCTGGCACAAATCAATTTTTGGTGTACATCATCAGTCATTTAACAGCTTCACACCCAATAGCAACCCAAGTCTGCTGACAATGGAAAAGCACAACTGCTCTTAATAGTTTTCTTTGAAGGAATCTTCTTCATAGTTTTGTTTTGTAGCTATACCAACAGTAGCAGGTCACCATCAGACATTATTTGCTGAGAGACAAAGCTTGTATGTTCTGCATGTGTTTCATAAGGTGAAAAGTATTTGATGTAACAGCCTTATAAAAATTTCTTGTTCATGTGCATCTCTATGAGGATTTATGCCTCCTGTGGGAGACAACGTTTAGGTAACCCCTGGTAGTGTTTATCCACTTGACTAAATTCTTCTGCGTAACACTGCAACTATTACTAATAGTCTTATTTTCAAAGGCAATCAGTATGCAAGGGTATGATAATACCCATATTACTTAATACTTGTCTTCAGAAAATTACCTCAAATAATAAACAAATCTTTCTGGAGCTGATCAATGGCTTTAGAACATACTACTACATTTTAGAACTACATTCTTCTAGCTACTACCTTGATACCTAAAGATACTGCACTGGTTATAGTCATCGTTACTCTAAGCTGACATCTCTCTAAATGAAACAAGACCAAGAAATTATATTTTTTCTTTTGAATGTATTGGGTCATTACTGGCAACAGAAAGCCCACTGGATAACCTTGAAGAGTCCTAGTTATACTACCAAATTAAATCTTTTCATTTTTTTTCTATTACATAGAGAGCAAATCACAAGCAGAGCATTCTGGACTAGATTGATACTGGTAGCTAACATGACTTTCTGAGCGAGGTACATTTTCTTTATTTCATAGTAGCACAGAAGTTTATCAGAAGGAAAAAGGACTCATCTGCTATACGTACCCTGTATAAATCAGAGTGCAGCTTTTAAGTTCTATCAAACTCCAGTTAAGTTCTATAACCAGAGGCTTACAGAAGGAGTCAAGAGTATCAGTGCAAGCCAGCATGGTACTGTCCATGCCAGACTCTCCCCAGAGGAGACTAAATGGCCTTAGTGCAGTGCAATTCTTGCCCATACAATGCTGTGCCTTAGCCTTATAAGCTTAATTACAACCTCTAGGGAGGTGTTCAAAAAATGTGTATACATGGTACTTCAGGACATTGTTTAGTGGTCATGGTAGTGTTGGGTTGATGGCTGGACTTGATGATCTTAGAGATCTTTTCCAACCTTAATGAGTCTGTGATAAATCAGAATCAGTGTAAACTGCAGGCTAATACAGATAATGGATCTACATTTGATGATGGGAATAATTCACATCTGGGAAGGACACACAACATTTAATCTATTCCTCTTTAAAGAGATCTCATTACATTAATTAAATTTAATCTTTAAAACATAATTCTTTCACTTGTTCAGTTTAGTCATCTTTGATGGAGAATTAACTCCAAAACATTGGAAGTGGAAAAACTGCAGACTGATACAACTGTAATGTAGCTATTAGCTGAGGCACTTTTTGAGTGGGGGGGGGAGCAGGATTAATTTCAAGATCAAACACCTACTTCTGTATTTATGCAGTGACTGTTTAAGAGATCCAGTTTACGTAGTCAGTGGTGACTGGATGGCTCCTCAGCTGACCAAGTAGTACACAGAAGTGTCTAGCATCATTTATGCCCTAGAGGACTTCAGCTGGTGCTTCAACAATGCCATGCCCCATTTGTGAGACCCATGTAAACCTTTCAGAAATCCTCAGTTCAGGTAAATGAATCAAGCCCAACATCCTTATGTTATGGTGACCTGAACTGCCCTCTATACTCCACTGACTGTACTGGCCAGATCCTTATTGATTAAAGGAACCTTAGACACTAATCACACATGAAGACACATATAGCTACTTGCCTGAAACCAGAGCTCAATCCTACCCAATGTGATCAAACAAGGTGGCAACACGTTAAACAGAACTTGGATGGGCCTGAGGTTTTGCTTCTTAAACTACAAACAGAACATTTTCAACCTAATTTTTTGAGTCAGTTCTAAATTAGCAGTTAAGAACCTTGAATTAACAAATCTACTGCACAGCTGCTGTGGTAGAAGGCAATAGAAACCCCCAGACAATTAGAAAAGGCTGAGGATACTGTCCTGTTTAAATCAGATTATCCTGTTTGATACAGACTATAAATAGTACGGAGCAAACAAACTGGGCATATTTCGAAAGGCCCTCTTTGGATTTGCATATCCTCATGGCATCATTTCTTAGAGAGCTTCATTACCATAAGGAGTCCTCAGCTCAGCAAGTTGCTTTGGACCTGTGTACTGCTTCATAAAAAAAAGTGTATTTATTTGCCAACTATGTAATAACAACGGTTATGATAAGCAGTGGCAAGTCAGAAAGGAAGGGATCCTCCATTCCAGCTGGCAGATCACTTACAGACTTTGTACTTTGATCTCAACAGAATAATTTTTTTCTGCTTCAGAACAGAGTTTCCATGCAAGATTTGTGTGAAGTTTTTAAAATTTTGTTTTCTCTGAGCCTAATTTTGTGGTGAACCAATGCAAAATGTAATTAGTTAAGAACAAGCAGTTGGTGTTTCTCAGGAGGCAGGCAGCCTTGATGGATCAGGACACATTTTGCATTTCTTCAAGTAAGGAAATACTTATGAACTTGGCCTTCCCTCAGGACTTTCTGTAAGCAGAAGGAACCACAGCCTGGAAAATTGAACAAGATTAAAAGGCAAAAAAAAAAAAAGGCAAAAAAATAAAAAAGCAGGCTGCTTCTCTTCACCACAAATGGCTATTGCATAAATCAGTCCAGAACCGGATAAATCTGAGATGTATTTGGAAAATAATATTATGTCAAATCTCTAATGAGACTGAACAAACAAAAATGATATACACTGAACTGACTCCATGCAGGGTAACAAATTAAAATTGGAGATGAAAAGTAAAAAACTCCAAACAAACTGTTGGGCTAATATAGTGTATATTTCAAATTACTAACTACTGATCCATCTGAAAGCTTTCTTAGTATTTGGCCTACCTTTAGTAGTTTCATACATATTATTAAATGTATGTATACACAGTTCTTGCCTGTACATGTGAGTAATACTTCAGAGAGGCAAACTTTTAAGAAATTCTTCTGCAGAACAATCTACTGTACTGAAAAAAACCCAGATATAAATACAGTAATGTTTGGTTGTTAATAGTAAGCTTTATTTCCAGAGCACCTACATAGAGAAACCTACACTGTATTTTAAATATGTTACGTTACACTATAAAATATGCATAATGTAGTACAATGAAAATGAGAATAAAGTTTTAAGACTGAAGCACAGTAAGCGCTATTAAATGTCAAATAAGGATCAGCTAATCATGGGAAATCAACTTAAGGCTTAGTTCACAAGTGTTTCCTGAATTAATTAGGTCAGCAGACTGAAGTTCTTCTAGTCGAATTTTCTGCTTTTAAGAAGCTCTGCTTACAATACAGATTTTTTATTTATTTTTTACTGTGGAAATGATAACTATTCCAACTATAACAAAAAGCTTTATTAAATAAGGAAGCCTGGAAATATATCCTTAAGATGTTCAGATGCTGAGACAGGATTATCTCTGTGGAAATGAATCCAAGAATCCATTCCTTTCAGGTATGAATATGTTACTTCTTCCCTCTTCCATATATGCCTCACAGACTCTGTGAGATGCACCTTCCTCAAAGAGTTCCTCAAGAATTTACCTTGGTACTTTATGAAGAAAGATGCATCCCTCAGGGCTATCAAATTTAACTTGACAGTAGGTTTATGTATCAGGCTGACAATCAAAAAAGACAGACTCTCTTTGTTTGTCTTAGAATTTCCATGTTGTGTTCATAATTACTATTCAAATACTTCCAATTCTATTTCCCACTCTTTAGAGGGCCCATCTGGGATAACAATTCCATCTTTTCCCCAGCATAGATGGTCAGATAAATAAATGAAGAAACAGTTTATAAAGGCACTGTAACTACTTTTGTCACTTCCAGGAATGGAACAAATTGCTGCATTCTCTACAAAATTAATAAAATCTGCACTGCTTTCATATTTGAATCAGACTTATTGCATTTATTTCACATGTACCAATACACGATTGCACATGCACGGAGACATGCTACACAATTTACCTAAAGTACAGAAAGGTTTTTCCAACACTTTGTAAGTGATGTTAAAAAAAATCTAGTCTAACAGCAACACTAGAAATAGTTAAAAATCAGTATTTAATCAATTATCAAAAAAGATAATTTGGGCTTCAATAGGAAGTTCAAATCCTAAAACTGAAATAAAAGTAATATTATCTTGATCAGATACCCAAATGCATCCTTCTGATTTCTCCTTCTAAGTTCCTATGAAAATTTTAATCTAAGATTTAGCCTTAAAAATTTAATCAAATTTCACTTTTGGAAACTGGATAGAAATGCCAATACAGAACTCTGGATTATTGACACATACAACGATATAATACTGATCTGATATATGGGAAATCAGAATATGGAAAATACCTCAAGAATCTTTTTTGTCTCCTTCAGGAGAAAGAATTCAGGTTTTAGACTTAGTATGTAAAGGAGTCGTGTCTGAACCTGCAGTGAAACTATACAATTAACTGTCCACAGGGACTATATATGATTCTGTTTGAAAAAAGATAGTTTCCCAAATTACGATTTGCATTCAGTGACAGATCAAGACCTTTCAACTCTTACCTTTTGGTGGAAAATAGGACTTGCTTTCTGCTTTGTGAGGCCAGTCTACTACCAAAGGCCCAAATCGTCTGAAGCTAGCAGTAATTTCATCTAAGAACAAGTGTAATAGTTGCAATTAAAATAAATTGCATAACTGAATGAAAAAGTACTATCAAAATACAAGGAAAGATCTTTTTTTCCAAGCAGAAGATGACTTCTCGTAGAAAAAAAGGAACAAAATTTCCAACCTTCACGAACAAATAAACTTAAGTAGACATCTTCCAAAACATTAACATTTACACAATAGATTTCTGATGACTTTAAGCTTGTTTGTTTTTTATTGCTTAATATCTGGAGCATTTCAGAATCATATGGGCAACTGAAGGTAGCGGTGAAAACTGGTGTGGTACTTCCTTAAATTCAAAATCTGACCTAAATATAATTGAAACAATTTATTGTTTAGTGATGTGCAGTTCAGAGCTTTGTAGATAGATGCCCATGTAAGAAGTACCAGCACAATGAAACAGTTTTGAGCTGATACTATGCACAGATCAGGCACATTAACTTAAAACTGCACATTTAGAGGTGTTTCTAACCCAACCATGAATAGTCCTGTTGCAAAATCTACTATGCCATCTGCACACCTTTGTGAGATGTCTTTCTATTCCAGCCACTCCTCCCTGTCTTGACTATAAGAACCTTGGGCAGGAGGAAAAACTGAAACCATCTTAAACTCCACAAGGATCAACAACTCAAACACAAATATGCTCCATTTCTTTCATTTGCATCCCGCCATCAGCATATAAACAGGCAGGAAAGAAAAAAATATATAGTCATGTGTCTTTGTTAGCATTTGTATTAAAGTCAACAGTATACATTTGAATTAGAAGCTAAAGTGCATCAAAGAAAAAGCTGAAGTATATTAAAATAAATACTTTAGTATATTGCAGGAGGGCATCACCATAAAGATGAAACCAGAGTATAGTCTTTCCATGTCTGAAATGTATTTAACCAGTCAGCTTATTTGGTTTGCAAGTTACTCTAGGATTACCATGAACCTTGTAAAGGGACTTCTGTTTACATTACCAAGCTGGTATATAATTTACATTTACCTGCACAGAAGAAATGCAATTTTAAAGAGCACAAATACTTCAATTCAGCCCTATTGTACAAAGCAATTCCAACTGCATCACAAACCGAGCTTCTGTGGTACATTCCATGTTCAATGCATCACAGCGTGCCCTACCACTTGACCTTCCTCTGCCTTAGTTTCTCTGTTTATGAAGAGGAATAATGTTAACCTTTCTAAACCACTTCTGAGATTTGTAGGTAATAGTAAAACAGAATTTGAAATTCAATTGCAAATAGAAATTTTCTATGAATAAAGAATAAAGCAGGCCCAGCTAGAGGACACTGTGAGGGGCTAAGATGTATTTGAAAGGAATATGCAAGGTAAGCAGGAACACAAATTCCAAGCATCACATGCAACCCTACAAAATGCAAGAGCAGAATCAGAAAACTGCACCATCTGAAAACTGAAAGTGATGGATGATGTCAAATGATATTAAACTTAACATATCCATCTACTCTCATTAAAAAAAAAAAGCCTTTACATCACAACATTATTTTCCTGAGTGAACTAACTATTTCTACAACTACTTTTAGGTTTTTCAAAAGACTCTTTTCTCTCCCTCCCAAATTTAGTTTTCAGGCAGCTCACCTTCATCAATATCTGGTGGAAGCCCTCCAACAAACACTTTCCGAGAGAAACGCTCAATTCGTTCTCCATTCTGATGAGCTGAATAGCAGGTAGGTGAATTCAAGACTCCAACTTGATCACCATGACCATCGTCCAGCAAAGCATCATCTATTGGGAAGAGGGAAGAACGACCTTCAAAAGAAAAGATAATGAATTATGAAAAGAATTTTGTGGCAGTACATGGCTATGCAATTTTAGGGAATGGAGAAATAGTCTGGAAATGTAAAAATGAAAACACCAAGATATTAGAAAAGTATGCATTAGTTTAAAGAAAAATTAAGAAAAATGCATTAAACCTCAAAAAGGTTGCAAGCTGACACCACTGTAAGCATAATACACTTCATACTGCATTATACAGTAGTTACTCTGCTGCATCCAGTAGCAAAGTAGTAATTGTTTTTTAAATAGTCTTATTTATGAAGAGATCATATTAAGAGCTGCTTAAGTGAGTTTCATTAGTTTGCCTTTGGTTTAGCTTCAAGTTAAATTGCTGACTTCCATCACCTGAATGACTTCTGCATGTCTAAAAATATTATAATTTAATTGAACAAAGGGAAACAGAAAACAATATGTACACAACAAGAAGTTTAACACACGTTTTCTCTTTTCTCTTTTAAAGATAACTATTGCTGATAAAGTAAGAACAGATTTAATTTCTAAGAGAACAGAAAAGAGTTTTAATAAATGTGAGAAATGTTAACACTTGAAAAATGAGTCACAGTGCTTATGCCTTGTGGTGGTTCCTAACATCTAGCAATCTGCAGTAAGATTATAGTTACCCTGAAAAGCAAGTGTAAAGCCTGAGAAGTTCACAGCATGGCTTTGCAAATGCAAACTGATCAAAAGACATGTAGAGATGGCAGGGGGGACTGAAAACATGGTAATTCTGTCCCACTTCCCTCCTATTTCATATTTTCAAATCTTGGACTCCAAGTTTTAAACTCCAAAAGAAAAAGACTCAGTAGGCCAGGAGATGCATCTTAGTTTATTCAAACTTTCATTGCTTTAGACTAGCAACAGATTAAAAACAATTTCAAATTCAGAAGGCAAACTGCAAAACGCCCTAAAAGAAACACTTTTGTGAAGCAAAATAAATACCCCACATGATCACTTCCTGTTTCTCTCACTCATTCGTTTATAACAATTACTAATTAATTCAACTGCTTTCCAAAAACAAGCAAGCAAACAAATCCCAAAAGGAATCTAGCACACTTTAGGGAAGCAAGTTAATTTTCCAGCTCAAATAGCCAACTTCTTCCAGATTCACCCACTGCAGATCTGTGTGTAGGAGAAGCAGGAGGTCCCTGGCAGCTAGGTCAGTACCTCAGCTGTGAGCCATACTGCAGCCTGGAACTTTCATCCCCTCTCAGGGGAATCCTACCAGGAAAGCCCTGTTGGAACACCTCTCCAGACACTGTGCTGATCAGCTAGGGGTGAGAGCAGCATGAAAGCCATTCAATTCTAGAAGACCACCTCAGAATCAACTGCTTAAGAACAGGGCTGGAGAACAGACAGCAGACATCACAGCCAGTGACCTATGTTATGATAATTCCTAATGACCCTGACATGGTATCTAAATCCATGATAAAAATCTAATACAGCAAAAATACTGAAAACTCAAGATGACAGTAAACAACAAAACCTAATGAAATGTCATGAGGATCACAAAACAACAGCAGGGCCACAGGACTGTACTAAATAAGAAAGACTAACTACAACATCTTTAGGGCAGCACTTCACATTTATGTCTTCAATAGGCATCCGATGGAGAGAAGTACATCAAATGCAGAAAGCTGTAGCAGGGTCTTCCTTTTCATTAAAAATGGTGATATGCATGTTTGAGAACATGACTGGTGGGCAGCATGTGATGGCATCCTTGCTCCCTATTTTAAGGACGCATTCCACAGCTAGGTAACACATCAGTAGAGTGCCTTTAGAAGTGGAAGCATGTAGCTGGTGCTCAATGGGGCAGAAAAATGAGGAAGCAAGAGACAAAGTCAATACAGTTGGAAGAAGCAGCCAGGCAGACTCTAACCATGAAAAAATGGTAAGATTTGGTTACACAATCAAGGAAGGGGATATAACAAAAGATTTCTGAAGGTCTGGTGAATGATGAGGACAACGGAGCTGTTATCCTAGTAACGATGAAAGGAAAAAGTGGCTAAAGGAAGAAATAAGACCCAAACAGAAGGAACCAGCAGGAAACCACAAAAGTGGAAATTTAATTTAAGAGTTTTCATGAATATGAGAATTACTCTTAACATCTTAAATCTAAAATTACTGTAATGTAGCTGGGTTTTTATAAAAAGTACATAGATTCGCTTTTTACTTCTGCAAGTCTCTATACTGCAGGAAAAAAAAAGAAGAAACTTCAGAGACTTAGTAACACACCAATTTTAATAAGCTTGTTGGGATTAGAATATTGCCACAAAAGCATTTAAGTATGTATGTGTGGTTTTCAATTTTTGTTCTGTTTTTTAAAAAACAACACTCATTAAACTTAAGGAAGGTGTCTCTTTGGACCATGAAAATTACAGCTTTGTGTTTCTCTACAAGTACTTCACAGACAATTCCAACTTACAATATACACAAGTATATAGGGGAAAAAAAACCCCAAATATTATTCCTCAGGATACTTTACTTTTTTACCAACAAATCAATGTTAAAATCTACGAACAAGACTCTAAGGCTCTCTTGCCACACAGATTAAACCATAAGAACGTGTTCTGAAGTGATACTGGAGAGATCAGCTTTACCTTAATGTAGGCAAAGGTTTCCCAAAAGCACTGTAGCTGCTCAGAGAGCTAAGATGACACAGGACAATGGATTAACACATTTAGAGTCACACATTCTATGTGACTCCTAAAACTTTCGTCTCTCTCATCTTCACTTCTAAATGTCTCTCACAGGAAGAAAGCAAAAAGGTAATTTGCTGGGCTTTCACATTTCTCCCAATGACGATGCATTAAAAGGGCAAGTCCTTTTAAGCATTTGTTTCTTTTTGTTTTATGACAGGGAAGAGAATTAAGCAGAATCTGCCAGGAATCCTCAAAACACAATTGTACTCCTACATATGCTGACCACAACCTAAGATCATCATTCCTCTCTACGTCAGGGCTACCCATCAATCAGTTATGAGCCAATGCAGAGACCAAGAGAGCCAAAGGAACTTAGGTGCATGTTGTGAATACCAGAAGCTATCAAAGATCTTGCTGTTTTTGCTACACACTTCACACGGTCTTTTTAACCACCACAAGTCACGTCCTCATAGAGTTAAATCAGTATAGCTTCTCCAAGGTCAGTGAGCATACATCAGCTCATACTATGAAAATGTTGTCTATTTCTAGGAGCTGTCTACTAGATTTCCTGCCAAGTTCATGGAAGATTTTTAATTTTTATTCTGCATGCCATCACTTCTACAGAAGCAAAAGAAGATGAGTTAGAAGAACTAGCAAACTGTATACTTTCAAAGGGGGCAAAGCTGGCAAGCAGTAGCCATTAGCATGAACTACATTATGATTAGAACTAGAGTGCTTTAACTGATTAAAGAACTTATAATTCAAACTCTAAAAAGAGATCAGTGATCATAACATACCCAACTGCACCCCGCCTTCTTTTGATCTTCCCCAAACTCAGACAACATGCAGATAAGTGCTTATAATCAACAATCTGGATTAATCGCAATGATCAGTAACAGCTCAAACAGAATTAATGGTACTGTAACAAACAGAAGTGAATTACCTCGTCTTCGCCCATAACTCCTCGCTGCATGCAAACAAAGGACAAATTGTAAAATGTCAAATAACTGTTTCATGCCCACATATGAAAATATTTAAGATACAAAGAACTATGTGGGTAAGAAGTAAAAATCTGCATCAGTACTTGCTACTGATAACTGTAGATGAGAATGCATTAAAATATGACTTAAATACCATACTATTTTACTACTGAATCGACACTAGCACCAGCTATAAAGAATAGACATTAGAATATTTCAACACGTCTTCGTACTTGATCTTAACTTCATGTTACTTATGGATGCATAAATTATGGTAATTTTGTAATTCATCCTCAGAAATGTGATTTGTATCTTAAACAAGTGTCTAAATAAGACACCAAGTACCAAAATGGTAAAAAGGAAAATATTACTTTAAAAAGCACATAGCAAGTGTTCAATTAATCACAGAAACATCCTGGTCCATGGAACAGTTTGTACAGTCCTTTACAGTGACAATACAAATGCTATAAGCCATGACCTTCTTTTTTGCATGAAAAGACCTAGCAGAAAATTAACCGCAAGGTTTTGTTTGAAACAAAAGACTCCTTGTGGTAGCAAACAAAATCAGGGCACAAGTCACAAGAAATAGCATTGTATCTAAAACACTGCACAAAGGCAAAGCAACAATTTCTGACAGACTGCAACTAAATCCAACATTTTCCTAACTTTTGAGTTTTGCAAGATTCTTAAAGAGATCATGCTTATTATCAGAAGACCATACTGATTGCTGCTGCTGCTGCTCTGTCTGAAGGCCAGGAAACTAAAAATAGACAGATTACTAATACAAAAACTATTAAACTGTAATTTCGTAGTTATGTTTCCACGAAGTATTTTTTATTCCTACTTCACGGACTTTGTATCTGGGAAAGATTACTTTAATCATTACAGCATAATAGTTAAATAGCCAACAGAAAATATTACTATGAACCATAATGTTAACAGCAACATGTATGGACAAAGACTGCTGTGCCTCCCCATTATTGGTTCATTTTTACTAAGACTCCATACACCTCTTCTAAAAAGCCGCTGTGGTACTGGGACAAAATACACACAGCCTCATAAACTCACTGATTCATAAACATCATTCACTGTTTTATTCTCATATCATTAAATACTTATATCCTGGCACCTCCCATTTGCACAGGGTTTTTAAAAACTTTTAGTAAGTATAATTTCTTTTTCCTTTGTTATGTTGATCCCCTCCTACAAGGAATTCAATGGACTGCTTATGGAATCCTGGAAATCCCTCTTCTCGTTTTTTCAAAAGCCCACTTCTTAAAAGAGACCTGGGTATCTGACCAAGTGGAAACATCTAAATTCAGATTTCCCACATTAAAACAAGACTCCACAAAAA